TCCAGCTTTTTAATAAAGTTTATTTGTTATACTTATATTTTATCTTTTTCTGTAAGTTGTTAAAAAAATACAACCAACTTAATATAGGTTGTCCGGTTATTTAAAATTGTATCCGGCTAACAATTAAGATACTTTTTGAATATGTTCTACTATTCGAATACTGACTCTATTATCCAGATCTGTTGCTGACTCTATTATCCAGATCTGTTGCTGTTTCTGACATGGAAAGAGCCGAAAGACGCATTTAGAGGTAAAAATGTTCGAAATAATTTTCTATCTCTATCGGATAACATATTATTTAGCTATAAGATAGGTTAATGATTAGACGCCTTCAACATAATTAACAAAAGCCAAAGTTAAGCATCTGAGTTATCTGATTCCATTCATAAGAAAAAAATATGAGAAATATGAGAAAAAATATTTGGGAAATCTGTCGTCTCTAGAACTTGAAAACATGAGAAATAAATCACCAAAATGTTTAGAACAAGCAAAGTTTTTTCTCATTCCTGTCTTTCATCTAAAGATTTAACCAAAACAAAAAAGCTGCAACAATATTTTTAGAATAAGGTATTGTGAGTACATAACCAATTTTTCACTCGTCTTCCTCGATGACCTTAGTGCCCAAACCAGACAATCCTTCAGCCGGAATCTCAGCGACAGTGACGAGGGAGTAGAACTCTTCCTTGGCATCTTCATCATCATTCCTCTTACGGGCAACACGGACTCTGATTCTCCTAGGAGGACCTCGGATTCCTCTGCTCCAAATCTGCTTGTTGAGCTTAACATCGACTCTAACGTCCTTTGTTCCCATTGCTTTCAAAGCAAACTTCCTGATCTCTTTAATGGCATTTGGTGCCTTCTTCTTGAATGTGCTGCGTACATTTACAAAATTGATCAAATCACATTGAGTACACGGACTCAGCATTTTCATAAACCATTTATTTACAAATACAATCAAAGAAACCGATTGCTCCACATTTCAGCTGATTAATGAAAGACACATTACATTGATTTCAACAGAAACAAGGAGATGTTTATAATCATTATCTAAATATTAATCATTCCATAGTCTCAAGCTTGAATGTAATTGAATTCATAGATAAACAAAAGAATGAGATATTTTCAGCATCAGACAGTGATGAGAGAGTAGAACTCTACACTTATCAAGAAACACTAATTCGAATTACTCAGAGTCTAGCATCATCAACGAACACAGAATCGAAAAGGGTATCTTCTCCAGAGGATCAAATTCTCAAGATAAAGTATATTTGAATTCATATATAAACAAGAAATGTTATACTTTGATCATCAGACATAACCCGAATTCACAGTAGTAAGTGTCAGAGAGCAAAAAGGCATTGTTGAATCCCAGTAATCTACAAACTCTACACACATCAAGAAACCCTAAATCGAATCAATCCGAGCTGCAAATCTCAGTCTAACCTAGAATCGAAAAGAGTATAACTTCGACAAGAAAACGCATAACGGGAGATTGAAATCACAAGAAGAAAAGTTTTTTAAAGATTAGGGTTTTTTACCAGCTATGTAGACGCCTGTGGAGATTGATAGTGTACTCTCTGGTAACGACTTCTTCCTTTCGTCCCTTCCCTTTTTCCATTTTCGTCGATCTCTATTTCTCTCTCTCTCTTCGAAATGGAGTTTGGAGACGGCACTGCGAGAGAGAAAGTAAAGTCTGGTAAGAAAACCCTAATAAAAAGCTTTCGAGAAGGTTATAAGTTGGGCCAAATATGGCATTAATGGGCTTTATGATACGTTCAAGCCCAATGTGTGCTAAAGATTGTCAATTCCCCAACTTTAAAACAAGTTTTTATGTAATATTTTTTTGTTCGATTTTTGCTTGTGGGTTTAATTTGGTTTAGGTTCATTTCATATCAAATGTTCAATTTCAAGATGAA